GTGAATTTCAAAATACAAATGTGGGTTTCGCTATGAGAGGTTTTACATAGAAAGGAAATATGCATTTGGTCTCATTGGTAGTGAATTTTCAGCTATGAAAATTATGGTAATAATTGGTAATTATTTAGATCTAAGAAATATACAGAAAATGCAGGCAAATTAATTCTGATTTAATAATAACAAAGGTGATAAATAGACAAACCGACTTCTCTGATAATTCTAATGATTAATATCGACAGAATTCAGGTTCATAGGAAATTACAATGTATTTCTGCCTGGTTCAGCTGAAACATAGAGGCACTCTGGAAGGCTAAGTAACATTTTCTAACGGAAAGGAGCAGTTTTAAAAGGAGCAAGGGTTTTTCTTCGAGCGTTCAGAGTTCGGCACATCTTTCTGCGCCATTAAGTACCTTCTCACTTCTATAGGAGATTGTGGGGATATTCCTCCCTCTTCTTCTACGTGACACCTACCTTGAGGATGAGATGCCTGAGTGGCCCTGTGTCTCCAGAAGCACCAAGCCCAGGGACTTGGAGATACATGTCCATTACCTTTTTCAGGGTAGAGATGATATCGGTAGGACCGATTCTTGAGCCAATTTCTTAACTCTGCTTCTAATAAATACTGTTGTTTTTGTGTCCTTACGTTCTGAAATGCACATTGATAAGTTTCTAACACTGAAAAACATATACGTTCCTTTTCCTGGCCCTTTTAGTTATAAATATGTCTTCTCTTCTAAAATCCATTCTGGTTCTGTGATTAAATAGTCTCTGAATTCAAGTATTATGCCTATTGACATTCTTTTATGTCCCCATTTTCAGTTACCATTGACTTTCCCCTCCATTAGCAGTCACACCTTGATAGCAACTCAGACCTTGACCAGCCATAGGGCAGGAGGTTCCCACAGGGTAGGTGTGGTTTCACTTTCATGTCCCACTTACTCCTCAGGGCACAGTGGGCAGGCTTTCACCCCATCATGCCACTCTAGCTTTGTGAGTTTTCAGAGGACTTTCAGTTCTCTTCGTAACTGACCTCTGTGTATCATGTTTTAAACAGTATCCCTGTCATTCGCTGCTTTCTCTGACACCATCCTTTCCCCATTCTCTTGCCATCAACCCTATTCCCCCATAGAATCCACTTGCTATTGAATCTCCAGGTAATGGCCCAAGTTCTCAGACTTTTTTTTCACCATATACTCTCCCTTTGGAAAAGTTTAGCAATTTCCATAGATTTTTTTAAAAATATTTTTTAATTGATTTCAGAGAGGAAGGGAGAGGGAGAGAGAGCTAGAAACATCAATGATGAGAGAATCATTGATTGGCTGCCTCCTGCACGCCCCACATTGGGGATCGAGCTCTCAACCTGGGCATGTGCCCTCACCAGAAATTGAACTGTGACCTCCTGGTTCATAGGTTGATACTCAACCACTGAGCCAGGCCGGCGGGGCCCAATTTCCACAGATTTAGCCCTCAATTTCAATTACAGACAAACTTCACCAATAGCCTAGGATTCCTCCTCTCCTCCCAATAATCTCCATACAGATTGTGGCTTAATGGCCAAGTCTAATTGTCCTGCAGGCACTTCACGCCGAATGTGAAGAAGGGTGGGTTGTGGTTATTAGGAAAGGCTTCTTAGAAGAGATGAGATTTGTGCTGTCTTGAAGGTGATTAGGAGCTCTTCAGGAGAAAGCAGTGAGGGGCGAGGAAGGAGTACAAGTTGATGGAACAGCAACATCATGGCGACCAGAGAGCAGGGCAGGTCTGCGGTCCGCTGGTGTTTGGGTATGAATTAAGCTTGGGGTGCCTGCAGAGGAATGACTGGAGAGATCCCAGTCAGCTTGCACATATCTTTGTGTAGAGCATCAGTGGGAAATAATGTATGGGTTTTAAATAGATGAGAGATATGATTTAATTGGTCTATTAGAATATTCATCATATGGTTGACAGAGGAATGGTCTAGAGAAGATAAAGCTGGAGGCAAAAGACTTTCCTACAAATAATTTAAACCTTTAAACACTAAACAAATACAAATGGAAAACAGAGATGGTGAGATATTTGCCACAAATGCAACCAATGGTTAATATCTTTCAGTATAAAAAGGTCATACAAATTGATATTAATTTGGAAAATACATAAACATACGTTCACGAATGTAAGCATATGGCATTTGTACTAAAATGAGGAAACATCATCCTCATTTGTTAAACACAGTAATCCAAACCGAACAGAAGGAAGATGCTATGGACTGTGTTCCCTCACAGCTCATCTGCTGAAGTGATGGTGTTGGGAAGCGGGCCTCTGGGAGGCCACTAGGGTTATGAGATGACCCCATGGGGGTGGGGCCTCCGTGACAGAATCAGTGCCTCTAGCTCTCCTCGTTCAGTCAGCCATGTGCCTTAGCTATTTCCTGTTTAGATTTTCCCGACCCCAGTGACAAAGCTCGTTTTCTATAGAGGCAGAGGGTTGGGGCTCACATTGTCGCCAGCATTGGGGTTCTAGGGTTCCCTAAGACAGAAATCGAGAGGAAACCCAGAGAGATTTCCAGACAGATTTTCTTCAGTTCATGCTTGAGCGCCAGGGAGGCAGCACAGAGGAAAGGAAGGTGTCTGTCTGGCTCAGGGTCTGGCTCGGTTTGGCTGCTTTCATAAGCTGGGGGCAAGGTGGGTTTCTGCAAAAAGGTGGGCTTTTTGAAAAAAGGCGGGCTTGCAGAATTTTCCATTTCGGGTCGGTGGCTTCCTTTCCACCTGTGTTGCCTGGTATGTTCTTGCACCTGTGCTGTGGGAGCAAGATGGCAACAGCTCATTACGGCCACACTAGGGAGGTCACGTAGAGGTCACCTGAGCACGTGGGTCGAGTTGACACAGGCACTTAGAAGGGAGATAAATTCAGCCACCCCTGCGTTTTTGAGCAGGGAGTGGAGCGGAGGTGACATTTTGCCCTCAGCGTCTGAGCACCTGGTCTTAACGTGGCTTCGTGGACACCCCGTGTTTTCTAGTCCCGGGCCCAGGCCCCTGTGCTGCCTCTGAATCTCCTCCCTACTCTGTACTAATTCTGTGGTTTCTGCCGGGTCGTTGACTGTCTCTAAGCTTTGCTTTCCTTGTCTGTTTTGTTGAAACCAATGATGTTTATAAACAATGGACACAGATCCACAGACATTGTTATTTTCTATCCCCTACCCCCTAATGTCAGGCCTTGGCCACCTCATGCCTGTGAAGTTCAGACTCATCATCCTGACCCCGCATTCTCTTGACCAGCCATCCTGTGGATCTTGATGGGATAGTCCTTCCGAAATAGGTCACCCACCTCACGTGGGTTTTCCCTGCCCTCACTGTCACCCGTAGGGCCTGGCTTTGAAGGACTCCAGAGTAATCTATGTTTATTGAATATTTATTCACCTAAATATTCATATATGCTCTTGTTATCTTTTCTGGCTGTTACTAACAAGAACATTGCTGTCATAATGCTTTGTTCTGTCATTAAGTTGTTATATTGTTAAAGCTTCCTGGAATAGCTACCTGGTTGTATGAGCGGCCGCCGCATCTACCATTACAGTCAGATTCGCTTAGTGTAATATTTTGCAAGCAATTTCCTGGCCACTTGGTGCCCATAGGTATTGCGATAGTTCAGATGTAGTAAAACAATTACAGTCGGCCAATGGGGCAGACACTGGATTATAGTAGGTCCTACTCAGAAGCCTAGACTGATGGCCACACACTTGCAGGTCCTGGGGCTGCATTCCAGGGCCTGGGAGGCTCAGAGACGATGCAGCTCTCGCTCATCAGAGGCGTAACCAACGCGTTTTCATGGATCCAAATTTCAGGTTGAAACTGATGACAATAGGAAATCAATGTGCACTTTATTGTTTCAATCTTAGTGAGTCGGCTAAATGGGCCCATTAGAAGGACGTGGTGTAGATTCCCCACCTGAAGGGAAAAGGTGGGTTTTGTTGTTGTTTGTTTTTAGCAGCTTCAGTTATGCTAACAATAGAGCAGCTGAAAAGGAAAATTTCAAACTATATGATAAAGAATTTTCAAGAGCCTGAAATTCCTTCCTACTAATTATTATTAGTCCTGTGACCATATGACAGACTGTGACCTGAGTCCTACGTCCATTACAGCACATTCACTAAATGCATGTATGGACCTCTGGCATCTGGAATTGCCCCAAAGTGCATTCGATATGGTGGCTCCCGAGTGCATGAGATTTTATTAAAAGCTTTCTGCTGTGCCATCCACTCCTCCTAATTGGTTTAGGGATAGCCCCCACCCTTCAGGCTGGTCCTAATTGCATTTCTCCACAAACCTAGTTTGATTTATGGCTCCTTATTTGCCCTGCATTTTTAATAATAATAAATTGGAGTAAAATTCTGGAGACATTAAATAAAATTTACAGTGGTTGTTCTACAAACCGGGGGCTTCCAGCAGGATTCCTAACAGTAGTTTTGCTTGTTTTTAAAGGCGTTTAATCAAGTCATATCCTTCTGCGTGATTTCCAGTAATACTGTCTTCATTATGTTTCCAGTTATTTTTCACTGGATTTTTTTATGTACGAATTTTTAAATTACTTGGAATGTTGGAATGGATTGTGTAGAATATTAAGAAAATAGTATGATGTCCTTTTATAAAGTTGTGGATACATTTGTATTTAGAATAGAAAAAAATATAGCCTTTATTAAAAAATTTTAAACTAATGTTCAGGCTTTTCTTCCATATAAAATAATATTTTAAAGTGACATTTTCTAGGAATACTCTCTAAAGTAGCTTGAAATAAAGGAGACACTTAACAGTGATTATGAACCGTTCGTTTGTAGTTGTGAGGTTTCCTTTGTTCATTATTAGAAATCTGCTCGTTACCAGCCAGCATATTTTAGGCAGCCTGGGCCTTAAGAACAGCAGGCCTCGCCCTGTCTATGCCTCGCCCTGTATGTGCCTCGCCCTGTCTATGCCTCGCCCTGTATGTGCCTCGGTTTGGTTTAAAGTTGGATCCTGCTGTTTTCTCTGAAGGTGAAAGGCCCGCCCACGGCAGGTGCATTTAAGGAGAGACCGACCAAGCCCACAGCCTTCCGGAAATTTTATGAGCGCGGAGACTTCCCCATCGCCCTTGAGCATGACTCGAAAGGGAACAAGATCGCGTGGAAGGTAAGTCGGGGCCCGGCCGGAGAGCCGGCTGCGGGGACAGCGCCCGGTGCCCACGC